ATAATTTAAAGGTACCTCCGTGCAATGCTTTGAATTACTGTAGGATACTCCGATGTTTTTTATGCTTTTTAGTAACCTCAGTAGTCAAAGAAAATTGAAGACAATTTTCCTTCCTTGAATTAAAACGTATAAAAAAATTATGCTATGCCGAATCGCTTAAAATCGGTAAAATGCAATTTAAAATGTTCCAGCTGTAGACTTTGGATCGATTGCACCAATAATATACGTACATCATGAAACGAGCAGGAAACGACCAAAGAAAACGTGAAACGAGCAGGAAACGACCTCAAACTATTTTTCGATACATTCTAAGCAAGCTAGTTAAGCCAAACAAGTAATTAATTTTAAAAAAAATTGTGAGAGGTACACTTTATAATGACTCTCAAAATCATGACAAATAAAAGTGACCCTTTCTTGATATTTTCACCCGTTCCTGTAAAGTTAGCTGGTTCTAACATAATTTATTAGTAAATGTTAGCCTGATTTAATCAGTAACATAAGACATATTGTGTCTTGTACAAGGCAGATATTAGCTGCTTAAGGCCTCATAATCAGCTAATAAAAGACAACACGCTTTATGCATTGGAAAAGTATCAACCAATCAACGGCCTTACTGTAGAACCTGTCCAACCGAAAGCGATCACATGTTGCCGAATACCACGAAAAAATGTAGCTGTGTCGTAATGTAGCCTACCGTTGAAATTAACCAAACTGGCAACAGTCGTGATTTATTAAGGCTATAGGAACAAAATATTAATAGAATACACAAAAAATAAAGTTTGTGGTAACTTGTAATGGATACAACCCACTCCATTTAACGATATGATAACAGGGCTGCTTTTAAATAGGCCTAATATTCCGAATACAATCGCTTGGATTTTACTGATTATAAAAACAAATAATATAAACGTAAAAAACGCACTGGTTCTATCCGTTCCGAGAATCTATCTGACCATTCGTCGAAAGATGACAGGATGACAAAACGAGCCTGGAAAGAGTCGACTACAGTGGCGGTAATAGGGCCTCCATGGTTTAGCGCCATATTTCTATAAAACTTCCTGTCAATCATACTTATCCAAAAAGATATGTTTAGCAAAGTTCGAAAAAAAAAACTAAATGTTTTTGTAGGAAAAACGGGGAAAACTTCATCTGAAGGGAAAATTTGAAATTTGTACTTTAAGGGTAAGATCACTCTTCACATTTGGTAATACATAAAAGATAGTGATCATGATAACAATTATCATCCATAACTATCTTATGATATGTGAGCACCATTTAGCCAACTGACTTCCTACTACCGGTAAGTGAAAATTTCGCCAGTATTCAAAAACATATATAAAATATAAACTACTAAAGGTAAGTCTTCTCATCCTTGCCTAGTTTAATCGTTCGGTTTTCAAATTCTGCATACTGTTGAGGAGTAAAAAAATCTTCTGCATCAGATGTGAAAAATTATGATGGTCAAATCCAAAACCTCCAATTGAATATTCTATTTTATCAAGAACAGAAACCTACATAAAACAAGAACTGCAGGTGAAAAATTCATTGAATAGATTATATTTTTTTTTATAAGAAACAATATGTTGAATTTCACTCTTTTAAAAAAAATAATACTAAATTTAGTCTTTTGAAATTCCAAAGAGCAAAGATTATTTACACGAGACAGTAAGTAATTTAAAAGAAAATGAAACTTACAGCTTTTTTTATAATATCTATCTGTTCTTTAATGACAGCTCTTCTTTCTCTAAATTCAAATGGATTTTCTCTCATTTTGGCAGCTTTAGTAACGTATTTGTCTTTGGACGTCTTGTCAAGTCTCTGCCATTTTTCTCTAACTTCTTTGAAAAAGGATGTTGTGACTTGAGTCCCTTAAAAAAACAATAAAAGATTTAGAACTTATAATTAACATAAATTTATAAATGGATGCTATAATATGAATATGAGGTTCTATGTACTTGCCAGAGTTTACTTTATGAAACAAGTTTTATTATCTTCTTTCTAATTCTGATGTAAACCAAGCGCATAAGAAGCTTACACTTATCTGTATATGTGCT